TCAAAGTATACAACTTTTTCCCCCATCGAACTTTGACAGCCAGGGACTAAAATTTGATCAGCTGAAAGGTTTTGATCATATAATTGTTTTGGAGGTGTACTCATAAATTGAGCTATCATCGACATAGTTATTTACTAATGATCTGAAAATATTGCTGAGTAGATATTTAATATAATTCAGCAAGACATTTGAGCCGGGCAGAGTGCCTACAGAGAGATCTCATTGATCTCATGGGCTTCAACGCTTGGAGTGTCGTCGACGGAGAAACTAAATGGCGACCTCACAATTTCAGAGTCTTCGGATGTAAATCTGAGAACAGTATATAGGATTCGGGAGATAGGAGTTTGATTAGTCTAATGTTAGTTATGAAGTCATGGCAGCTCGGAAAACTACCGAATTTGTTGTTGAGGGCCTCTAGCTCAGCAGCGAAGCCTACATCAAGTGTCTTGAAAAAGTAGTCCTGGGTCAAAAAGTGGCTGCTGGAAGACCCTATATCTGGCAAGAGGACTCTGCACCATGCCACACAAGCAGGAGAACCCACTCATGACTTGCAGAACATTTCTGTGATCACATCACTTCTCACATCTGAACACGTAACTGCCCAGACTGCAACCCCTTTGATTACTATGTGTGGGGTACAGTTGAGCCGGAGACCAACAAAACTCCTTGTAACACCAAAGATGAACTGAAGGCAAGGATTATGGCAGTATTCAACAACTTAAACAACATACACAAGAAGAACGTCCAGAAGAGTTGCAGGAAATTCCGAAGTCGTCTGCAGACTGTGTTTGAAACCAGTCTCGATTTTATTGAATAAGTTTACTCTTTAGAATTTCCAGATATTTTTGTTTAGTTTTGGTAAATATATCAGTTAAAATGGGAAGTAAGTATTATTTTCATTTTTGCGTAATATAGAAGACAATTTATCCATCGCAACGTGTATATACATATTAAAATTAACATCGATATTATATGTCTTGAAAACCGGAAGTTAAAATAGCTACAACTGAAAGCATAGAGGACCTACGGGGATGCTTTAATTGATCTCAGGTGCTTCAACGCCTGGAGCATCGTCGACAGGAAAACTGTGACCACGCAATACCGAGGATTGTTGAAAGTCGACATCGTGGACGTGATGGTTAACAAACATAGTCATCAACTAATTTGAGTTTGAAAAAGCTACCGAGTCTCTGTGGAAGACATCTAATATAATGGAGGTAGTTTTATTGAATTTTTTTATAACTTACTACGTAGCAACTTTCATATCACTACTGATTTTTATAGCATACTATTTTTAACTATAGAACAACTTTGTTTTCTTTCATAATCTGTTGTCCCTTATATGGCGTACCCTAAGTTCATGCGCACTATTCTTTTATAAGATTTGTAATCGACGGTATCATAAAGGCTTATCCGGCCTACCATATTTGTTATGGGATCTTACCCATAATAATAATAATGATGGACTATTCCGTATTTAATAAATACTGCACCTCAGGAGTAGGCAAGGAGTCCGTCGCTCAACTCTTGAGCGAACGGTTCGGTTTAACTCTCTGCTTTCGGGCGGGGAGGAACCCGAAGGAGGCTACGCCGAAGGGCGGAGTCTCCTTCGGGGAGGTAAATTGGCCCCAGAACCCGTTTATACGGGTTCAAATGGGCTATTTTTGGCCGAGCCTAATGGCTCGGAAAGCCCACGTTAAAAAGGCCTTGTGCCACATGACGCCCTCGTGGGGGACGACTAAATATAGTCCGTCGCTCACTTTCTGAGCGAACGGTTTGGTTTAACTCTGTTTACAGACGGGAGGAACCCGAAGGAGGCTACGCCGAAGGGCGGAGTCTCCTTCGGGGAGGTAAACCGGCCCTGAACCCGTTTTATACGGTTTCAAATGGGCTATTTTGGCCGAGCCTAATGGCTCGGGAATGCCCACGTTAAAAAGGCCTTGTGCCACATGACGCCCTCGTGGGGGACGACTAAATATTGTCCGTCGCTCACTTTCTGAGCGAACGGTTCGGTTTAACTCTCTGCTTTCGGGCGGGAGGAACCCGAAGGAGGCTACGCCGAAGGGCGGAGTCTCCTTCGGGGAGGTAAACTCGGCCCCTGAACCCGTTTATACGGGTTCAAATGGGCTATTTTTGGCCGAGCCTAATGGCTCGGGAATGCCCACGTTAAAAAGGCCTTGTGCCACATGACGCCCTCGTGGGGGGACGACTAAATATAGTCTGTCGCTCAAGTCTTGAACGACAGATCGGTTGAACTCTCTGCATTTGGGCGGGGAGGAACCCGAAGGAGGCTACGCCGAAGGGCGGATTCTCTTTCGGGGAGGTAAACCGAACCTGAACCCGTTTATACGGGTTCAATGGGCATATTTTTGGCCGAGCCCACGGGCTCGGAGAGCCCACGTTAAAAAGACCTTATGCCACATGACGCCCTCGTGGGTGGGGGACTGAATATCGTCAGTCGCTCAAGTCTTGACCGACTGTTCGGTTGAATTTTCTTCCTTCGGGCAGGGAGGAACCCGAAGGAGGCTACGCCGAATGGCGGATTCTCTTTCGGGGAGGTAAACCGATCCTGAACCCGTTTATATGGGTTCAAAGGACATATTTTTGGCCGAGCACACGTTAAAAAGGCCTTATGTCACATGACGCCCTCGTGGGGGGGGGGTGACTGAATATCGTCAGTAGTTCAAGTCGAGTCAAGAGTCGAGTCAGAGGCAGTCCGAAACAGAGTCGCGTTCAGACAATTACTGCAAGACATTGGAATAGTGATACTGGTCGAGATTACATTGTTCTCTCTACTAAACCTGGTTGTTCATACTAACACTTCTACTTCTCTCTCTATATATATATTCCTGTTTGTAATATATCTGTGTTATTCCATACCTGTGTTCGCGTTCTTCTTTGTTGGTTCTACCTTGGACTATCTCCGTGGTACAAGGAACCGGACCATAACAATATTCAAAACTATAAAACCGTATAGAAACCCTTACTGAGAAATTAAAAATCTTGCCATACTGTCTAATGAGTATAGTACTGTATGAAATATTACAACAGCGATTAAATAATGCTACCAAGTGTGAGTGAGTGTGATACAATGAAAGAAAGACAGAAAAGAAAAATTGAGAAACAAAAACAATTAAAGAGAGTGTGAGAGAAGGGCATAGCATGAGTGAAAGTTATAGAGGGAATGATACATAGAAGATGGCATAAAAAAAGAGAGTGAAGCAGAGAGTAGAAGTGAGTAAAAGAGTGGGAGTGACAGAGATAACGCGAGAGAGTGGGACAAAGAGAAAGCGTGAGAAAATATCTTAAATAGTTATAGATATTTTTTTTTTAATTATTTCCTCTTTTCGTAAATGAGATCTAGAGGGAGACAGGAAGAGAAAGAGTCAGATTAAAACAAAGAAAGAGAGAAAGGGAGAAAGAGCAAGAAGATAAGAGAGGCAGCGTATTAAAGAAAGAGAGAAAGAGAGATAGGATGAGAGAGACAAAAAAAGAGCGAGAATGAAACATAGAGAGGGACAGAAAAAAAGAGAGAATGAAACAGAGAAAGAGAGAAAGAATAAGAGAGAAAGACTAACACCAAAAGCGCGCGCGCGAGAGAGAGAGAGAAAGGGAGAGAAATAAACATGAAGAGAACGAAAAAAGGAAAACATCAGATAGACAGATGGAAGGAGAAGAAGAGGGCGAATCAGAAAAAGGAGAGACAGGGTGAACGTAAGGAAGAAATAGAGATAAGATGAGAGAGACGAAAAGAGAGAGATAAAAAGAGAATGCGAGAATGAGACATAGAGGGGAGACAGAAAATGAGAGAGAGAGTGAAGCAGAGAGAAAGTGAGACAATAAAAGAAAGAAACCACAAAAGAGAGATAGCGAGCGAGCACGAGAAATACACATAGAGAGAAAGAGAAAAGGAAAGAGTCAGATAGACAGATGGAACGTTAAACACAGAGATAGGATGAGAGAAACGAGAAGAGAGCGAGAAAGTTAATGCGAGAATGCGGCATAGACAGAGATCGAAAAAGAGAGAGAATGAAACAGAGAGAGATAATAAAAGAGAGAGAGTTATGACAAAAGAGTGAAAAGTAGAGAAATATAGAAACAGTGGGAAATAGCAAAGTAAAAGGTCAGAAGAAGCGACAAAGAGAGAGAGAGAATAAAAGAGAGAGTTATGACAAAAGAGTTATGACAAAAGAGTGAGAAATAGAGAAATATGGAAACAGAAGGAAATAGAAAAGTAAAAGGTCAAAAGAATCGACAAAGAGAGACAGAGAGATGAAATGTGAGAAGGAACGTAAGCGTAAAATGTAGAGGGAGACAAGAAACCAAAATAAAGAAAAGAGAGAGAGAGAGAGAGAGAGAGAGAGAATGTCGCTTTAAAGGTTGAAGCCTTTTTTTTTTATTTATTGTTTTCTCTTTTTGGGTTTCAGGCCGTAACAGAATGACGACGGCGTAGTTACATTAAATTCTCTGTGTGTCCCTGGCGTGGAAGTCTTTACATAAAGAAATTATAAACACAGCTAAAAGCAATTAAGTGTGCTGGTCAGTGATGTCATTGTCCTTCGACAACCAGCGTCTCCAACTTTTACCGCACCAACATCCGGGCTTTGACAAAAGAAACCATTTGGGCATTAAATTGGAATAAAACGTTTTATGGAAGACTATTGTTTCGACATCTTTGTTTTATTGTGGCTTTCCTTTTATGACATTTATTTTGTTCATTCCGACTTGCGTATTCAATGCCGACAAAGAGAAAAAGCGTTGATTTTAAGCGGAAATTTTATTTCTTTTTGTCACCACTCCACATCCACTTTTCATCTCACCTATTCAACTTGCTTCTATAATTTTCTCTCAATCTCTCTCCCTCTCACACTCTCTCTCTAGTTCTTTTTCTTTATAGCTTTCTCTCTCACACTATATAGCGCACATATATTCTCTTTATTCTGTCTTGCCCTAAGTCCCTCTCTATACATTCTATTCCTCCTCTTGCTATTTTTGTAGCGATGTGTCTCTCATTTTCTCTTTTCTTCCATCATTCCATTCTGCTGTCTCTGGTTTTATCTTTTCTTTCCTTCAATCTCTATCTATCTATCTATCTATCTATCTATCTATCTATCTATCTATCTATCTCCCATTTATCTTGTCTTTCTCCCATTTTCTCTGTTCGTTTCCTCTGTTCGTTTCGCTCTATTGATCCCTCCCTCTCTCTCTCTACAAGAACACGGAAATGCGAAAGAAAGAGAGAGAAAAGCGAAGAGAGTGCTCTTTGCTTTTCTCTCTCTCTTTCTTTCACATTCCCGTGTTTTTTTTTTGGGGGGGGGTACTCTCTGTTTCGCTATCTTTCATTTTATTTTTGTTACTGTCTCTTTCACACATATACAGACACACACACACACACTGCCACCCTCTCTCTCTCTTATTCTATCTCTTTCTTGCTCCTTACATCTCAAGGCTTTCTGTCTTTCTCTGTCTAGCATTCTCCCTTTCTCTCTCTTTTTCAATCTGTCTTTCTTTCTCTTTCTTGTTCTTTTTTTCTAATCCTTCTGTTTCACACCCTGTCTCTTTAATTTCTGTTTCGTTTCATATCATTATTTCTTTCTGTCACCCAGTGTCCCACATTCTCTCACTTTATTTTTATCACGCTATGTCTCTCTCCCTCTATCTCTCCCAGTGCGATTCTCATATTCTTTATTTTTATCACTTTCTCTTTCTCACACTCTCTTTCTCTCTTATTCCATCCGCTTTCCCTCTCTTTCCCTCTTTCTCTTTCACTCTCTCTCTCTCTCTTGCTTTTTTTTTTTCTCTGTTTCACTCTCATTTTGAAGCTTTTAAAAACTCTCTTTTATTTCTTTTATATATATATATATATATACATATATGTATATCTATATATATATATATATATATATATATATATATATATATATATATATATATATATATATATATATATATAAAGTGAACATAAAGTCAACACTTAGAGGCTCTAAGTGTTGACTTCTATGTTCACTTTTATATTTACATACCTCTATCTCTGATATTGAGCACTTTATCCCATAAATATAGCACACCTTAAGACTATACTATATTTATATATATATATATATATATATATTGTTCTTTCTGTCATGTTATTTTACGTATCTTTATTTCTCCCACCCAGTCACTCTTTCTTTTACTTTAATTCTCTCGCGCGTTCTCTCTGTCCGGCTCTTGTTACATTTTTTAGCATTTATCTTTGAAAGGTCAATCATATCATTTTTTTTCTGTCTTATTGTTCCATTCGGAGCTTTCAAATAAATTTAAAAGCAATTTTAACTTTTCTTTTTGGTTAATAAATTCGATAACTATTGATTGGATTCCAAAAGTCATTAAAAAAAAACAATGATGAAGCCTGCTAAATAATACAATCTGAAAACAAAAGAAAATATGAAAACCAACAAACGATATGAGGTCATGGCTGAAAATACAGAAGCTAGAATGAGCAAGGATTTATCTCCCTTGGATTAATAATCGCAATCAGTGTTGATATTCGTGTAAGAGTCGGGTAAGAGCTTATTGGAGGACACTTTTACACTATTGTTTACACAATACAAAGCAAGAATCACTAAAACTATGGCGTTTCTGAATGAGGCAAGCATATCAAGTGAAAGGGTAAGAACTGCAGATTCTGATGACATGTAGCAGAGATCACGCTTAAGAGTGGAAGAGGGTAAAATTGATTGGAGACGCATCCTTGCGAGAGGGTGTTCGACAAAATAGCAGCTTTTGAGAAGAAGCTAACCGAATAGAACCTCCTTCTTAGCAGTGGAATACGAAGGGAAAGAGGACGATTCAACTGTGTGTACATGGTGTGACTGGTTATAGCAATAAAGATAGGAAAGTATGGAATTAAGAAGTGTAGTGCATCTGAACATTTGGCGGGGAAAGAGCGATAGAGGAATGCACTTTTCGTCTGTGAGGAAAGTGGTTGTAGGTTGGAAAATAATTGATTACGTAAATACGTTTGAACTTTGACAAGGCTGGAAAGAGAGGATTGAGATAGATAGATAGATAGATAGATAGATAGATAGATAGATAGATAGATAGATAGATAGATATAGAAAGAATTAGGAACAGATATAGATTGATATATAGATATGAACTAACATAAATAAATATAAACAGCTATAGATAGATAGATAGATAGATAGATAGATAGATAGATAGATATGGACAGAATTATGAACAGATATAGATTGATATATAGATATGAACTAACATAAATAAATATAAACAGCGATAGATAGATAGATAGATAGATAGATAGATAGATAGATAGATAGATAGATATGAATAGACATAGATATTAATAGCGACAGATAGATAGATAGATAGATAGATAGATAGATAGATAGATATGAATAGATAGATATTAATATGAATAGACATAGATAGATAATATGAACAGATAGATATTATAGATAGATAGATAGATAGATAGATAGATAGATAGATAGATAGATAGATAGATATGAACAGAACATAAATAAATATAAACAGCTAGAGATGGATAAATAGCTCGCTAGCTAGCTAGATAGATAGATAGATATGAACACACATAAATAAATATGAATAACGATAGATAGATAGATAGATAGATAGATAGATAGATAGATAGATAGATAGATAGATAGATATAAACAGCTATTGATACAGACAGACACAGAGAGAGAGAGAGAAAGAGAGAGAGAGAGATGGAGACGGCATCAGTCACTTACAAAAATATTTCTTAGGTTAAAGGGCTTCTTTTTCTGTTTAACTAGCCTAATATTGTCTGAGATTTAGCAGTATCCCAAAATACATTTCCTCGTGTTACTGTCTAATACAAACCTTACACATCTTTAAATTTTCTCTCCACCTGTATGCATTATCCTTCCTCTGTGTCTTAGAAAATCTGCCTACCTACATTCTCATACGCCTCAAATGTTGACATTTAATCTATTCATCTTTTGTTTGATGTTTTCAAGCTGGTGACATTGGTATATACGTTCCGAGTCTCGATTTTTACATTTTGCTTGTTGCAAATAGTCGCTGGAGAACGGCCCGGTGACATGTGTCGTTCATATCTATCGGTACCAGATGAAGAATGGTTCCCATGGAACTTAAACCCATTACGCAGTTATTTTTTATATTAATTTTGCGAACAGTTGCTTGAAGGCGGTCAGATGACACCTGTCGCCAATGTCTTCACTTACGAGACAAACAATTATTTCCAGTGAACTTTACCCGCTTCAAGCCATGAATTAATAATTATTAAAAATGTAACTTAATATAAGTTGTAATATATCCGCTCAAACTAAAACCAAACAGAAAATTAAATAGTATTTACTATTGCGATTACTGGGTTTGATGGATGTCAGTTACCTCTTGCTAATTTTCCCTCTGAAAGTTCTCCACTGCCTTGACCGAGTATTGAACTCACACTTTTTGGGTCTGTCACTGGATCTAACCAACGCCTTTATCCACTGTGCCATGTGTCCTTGAGGACAACTGGGCATGAATTTCTGGGTATTATAAACCTAATGTTTAAGAAAACCCCGCTTATTACCGCAAAGATGCTTCCCTATTAATTACCTGGGTGGGCGTCCCACCAAGTTAATTCAAGATTGGTTCTGAAAGGAAAAACATAAATACATGCAATAGATATGGAGAAGCAGAACACACAATTACACATGTGTTAGAAGCAAATCTAGTTGGCCAAATAGCTAGTCTTTTGACGGTTTACTGTGTCGGGGCAGACATAGTTTTCTTGTCAGAATCCATCTTACATATTTATAAATCTACCATTCGTCCGGGCGTTCGATACTGCTGTTATATCTAGCCTGTTTCTCCGGCTATATATCTCGAGATTTTCAATAAACTCCAAAGAAGAATCCGTAATATCGGTCTGGGATACTGCTAAATCTCAGACAGTATCTTGCTAGTTAAATCGAAAGGAAATATGTTTGTATACGCACCGTCAGCGTAGTACACGGAAGAGAATTTCAGTACCTTTTACAACTCTCTGAGCAAGGACAAGGTCTTATGTAAATCAAAGAAATAACTATGACCATGTGAAACCTGAATGCCTAAGTCAAAAAAAAAACGAGAAATATTTGGCATGCTTAGACAAGGATTACGAAACGATCATTGTCAAATATGGGTCCAGTGGTGCAGTGCAAACGATCAAATAATCACCAACATAGCAAAGGTGTGCTACATTAGAGTAAAAGTAGGAAATATATATAAATATATATAATATATATATATATATATTATATATATATTTTATATTATTTATTTTTATGAAAAAAAACAATAAAATTTCGTCTTTTAAACTGAAAAATGTCAGTATATGCATTCTACTTTTTTATCCGAGTGAATACTAATAAAATTTTTTAAATAAAAATATGTTTCTAGATGTCGCAGAATTATTTTAGAAAACTCAACAGAATATTACGTAATGAAAAATCATTCAAATTTACACCTGAAATCGTGGATTATAGATGAATGTAAAAATAGTTGAAAAATCTTCATTTTACTTCTACTATGATTATTCAAATCAATATTAATTTAAATAATAATTTTTCTTTTACTCTTATCTCATAACATTTCTCAATGTACACGGATTTTAGTATAATATAACAAAATTTCTTCAATATATTCAAACTTTAATCAGAGAAAACATCTGATTCTAAATTTTTCATAGACGAAGAGTCAAATATTGTTATAAAACGGTCTATCGCCCTTCATGGGCAAAACCGTTTTATTTAATCATCAAACAAAAATTAACGTTTCAGACATTAATAATTTAACAAATGGACCTGTTTTTTAACATCTCGACGATTTGTACACGATTTATACATGAACTGAATGAAACTTCCTATAACCCATGAAGTTTAGCCAATCAAAACAAAATTATTAGCTTTTCTCATACATATATATTTATCAATATATTTATTACAAAATTTTATTATACACGAGTTTATAAACTGAAATAAATAAAATGCATTTCTAGCTTTTTGAAGTTTAATCTATCAAAACGAAATACATTTTTCTCTGAGATTTTTCTTCTTCAAAATCTCAAATTATAAAACTATATTGAACCGAATAAAAAATCATTCAAATTTTGGCCTGAAATCGAAAATTATAGATGAAAGTAAATATTTTGACAAAACAATATTCATTAAAATCTCGACTTATATGCTAAAGAAAAACCTTCAAATCAATATTCTTTTAAACTCTCTTAATTTTTCTTTTACAAACTTTATCTCGAAAATAACTTATTCTCAGAATATACGACAATTTTATTACTTAAAATAATGATCTTTATTTCAGTACATCAATAAAAACTTTAATCATTTGATGACAAAACATTTTATTCTTCTTTTTGACATAGACGAACAGTGTTATTACCTGTAATTGGGAATGTGATTTGCAAAAAAAAAAATGTTTATCATTGTTCACGTTAGCAATCCGTTATACCAGTGACAAACAAATTAATTATCTTTCGTTTCAGACATTAACAACGATTTGTAAAAATATTATCGACAGTGTTTAAAAAATATCTCGACTTGTAGCACGAGACTGCCGGGGGGATGAACTGAAGAGATAGATCCAGTATAACCCATGAAGTTTAGAAAATAAAAACAAAATTATTGTTTAAGGTTTTCTCATACATTAATGTCTTGTCAATATATTTTATTTTTTTTTTTTTTTTTATACGAGTCTATACCTGAACTAAATAAAACTCCCTCTAGCTTATGAAGTTTAGTCTATCAAAACGAAATTATAAACAATTGTCTTCTAAAAGATTTTTAAAGCATTCTCAAAATCTCAAATAAAGAAAAGGAGTCTATCTGAACCGAATAAAACCCCTTATCGCCCACGAAGTTTGGCCTATGAATACAAAATTATTAGCAAAGAATATTTTGCCAAAACAATCTGCTTCTAAAATCTCGAGCTTATATGCTAACAGAATAAACCTTCATAAGTTCCCTTTCATTCTTTATGCCTCCAAATCTCTTCCCTTGATTTCGTGCAAAAAACTACAAACTTTAGCGCTACGAAAACCGCAATGTAATTCACGTATATATACGACAATTTTATTACTTCAAAATAATGATCTTTTATGCTTTCAGTACAGTACAATAAACGCGCAAGTCAGTCATTTGAGGACAATAACATTTTTATTGGCTTCTTGCCCTGGTTGACTATTGAGATAACACATTTTTGCTGTTATTACCTGTACAGTTTGTTATGGGAATGTGATTTGCAAAAAAAAAAAAATGTTTACACATTGTTGCACGTTAGCAATCATGGTATACCAGTGACAAGACATTTTGTGTAATCTATCTCGCGTATTGATCAAGGTTTCTATTGGAACCGACTCTCAATGGGATATTTCCCCGGTCAACAATATTATCGACAGTCTTTTAAAAAATATATAAATTCCCCACATAGAGCCCATAAACAGTGCCTCTTATTCTGTAAGAGATAGATCCAGTGGCTCGACCTCATAAAGGAATGAAAAAAAAAATTGAAAAATTATTCATTGAACGAGAATTTATTGTTATCAGCGGATGAAATTTATATTTTTTTTTTTACGAATTTTCAAACCCAAAAATCCATTTTTTAAGTCTGCTAACGTTTATCTCTCTTTCTATTATTTCTTTCCCGACCTTCCGGGTAAGTTCGTGGGGAAAATAGTCACCTTGATCTTATCAGTATTTTCTTTTACAGTTACACGTTCTAACCATTGTCGTTGTTATTGCTGTCATATGTTCAAGTGATGTGATTCTGTTATTTGGTAAATCTCTTTGTTTGTGATCGTGCAGTGCCAGCCTAATGTTCTTGTTATTAAGTAGAGAAATCTCTGGAATAGACGTTGTCAGGTCAACAGATGGGAGATCGACTGGTATTCGCGCTGGCGCACTGCTTTTATAGCAATGCCTCATTTACATCCAATACTACACTTATGTTCTTCATTCACATTTGACTTCTAAATTATTCATTGGGAATCAATTATTGTTTGTATGTATCGTGATTTCTTATATAGGAAACTTAAGTCTGAGTTCATTTTCCTCTTCCGACTTCCTCGTCAGATTTTTTATCATTAACAACCATAAATTGTTCCCATCCCCGCTCCATGTTCTTCACCTTCAAATTCTTTGTCCATTCCTATATCCTCGGGTTCCATTCTACTTCTGAATTGATCCGCATGGACCAGTACATTTTGTCTATTTTTCGTTAGTATTGCTGTGTTGTGTCCTTCCTGTTCGCTTTCTCTGGATTAGATTCTTTCTCTTTTTTATACCATACACTTTCACTTGTTGAAAAAGACATTGTTATGGGAGCTCTAATCTGTCTAATTAATACGAACGGACTTTGTAGCCTGTCGGCATATGGAATTGTCCTATAGTTTAACATTAATCTTAGTAAGTAACTCGATATATTAGGATTAGATGGGAAAATGCTTCTAGTCCTATTTTCACAGTCAATACCATTCATTCTGAGATTCCATTCGGTTGTGGGTAGTAAGGTAGTGTATTATACGGGACGCGTCCAATACGTTCTAACCACGAGCACACTTTCCTCGCAAAATTCTAGAGCGTTATCTGAGGCCAAAGTTTTAGCCACCGCATTCCTTGAAAATATTGTTCTTAATATTTGTTTTACAATAGTGGCTTTTCTGTCGGCTGCCTTAATTACTTCGGGCCATGCTGAAAATGAGCCCACTAAAGCCAGATGCCTTAATGGACATGATCCATGTGTTCCTGAGGCCATGGTTCTTTTTCTTTAGGCCACTAGTGAATTTTGTTTTGCGGAAAGTATTTATTTTATTATTTTACGTATCTTTTTACATAGTCTTCTATATCTCCAGAATATCCTTGCCACAACACTTGTAGTTTTAATCTCATTTGTGTCGCTTATTTGTGTTGAGGAGTAATTAGTGGAATAATGGATAGGGGCTCAGATTAAGGAATCGGAGAGCTGAGATGGGATTCCAGTCGGATCCATTAAATTCACTAATACCCTTGGAAAAGGTATGAATCCTTTTCTTCTCTCCCCCAGCTATGGGTAAAGATTAAATTGCCTTGGGTGGCAACCGATCTAGTAGAAAGTAACGCTGAATTCAAAACTATATGCAGCGCTGGCGTAGTACATACTGTACTGCTAAAGAAAGGATCGTTCGCATTGGCTCGACCTAGATGGATATTTGTGTCGCTGTTACATCACAATGTACATCATCGTGAACACCTTTTAATACTTATTTTCTTTAATTTTGTAGGTCTATTATAATATCTCCATTGCATATTATGCCTTTCTCTGCAGTTAACTTATGCCTTGATTCTTTGTAGGGTCTTTCTGCCACTGAATAATTGGTCCATTTCTTTCTTTTAATTCTATCTGAAAGTCTCCTTAACACTGGATCTAGTCTGATTTTCATTCCGAAACGATTGAGAAGTAACACGTTCGTTTCAATCCAGTGCAGTATTATATCTTCTGAGTTTTCAAATGTTTCTCATTTGTCGGTGCTGAAATTTACTCTGGATAGCGCCTTCACGTGGAGAATAGTGTTCCCTGTTACGTATATGATGTCGAAATCAAAAGCCATGAGTTTTATAGCCCATCTTAAAATTCTACATGATGTGACTTTTGGTAATTCCTTTCTGGGGTTAAATATAAACTCTG